CTGATGGGCAGAGAATCTTGATCCCGGAAGGTGGATGTGCGTGGTGGTGAGCCAAGATCGCGCCACCGCACTCAAGCCTGGGGCAATAGCGCGGAGATTCCTACTTAAAAAAAAAAAATAAAAAAATGGTCGGGCCAATTTATTTGTATTTTTGACGTACAGATCTCTTGCTGTCTTTGCCTGTTGCTGTTTAGCGTCAGCCTTCCGAGTAGCTGGGACTACAGGCGCCGCCACCACGCCCAGCTAATTTTTGTATTTTTAGTAGGGATGGGGTTTCACCATCTCGGCCAGTCTGGTCTCGATCTCCCGACCTCGTGATCCACCCGCCTCAGCCTCCCAAAGTGCTGGGATTACAGGCATGAGTCACCGCGCCCGGCCTTGACTGAATAAATTTAAGAGCTTCCCTAATTTGGCGTCAAACAAAGTTTCCTTTTCCCTACTCTAGTAACACATTTCACACGTTCTCCACACTGACCTCTGCTATATGCGCCCCTTCATTTCCCAGTCACAAGGGGATTTCCCCCCTTTTTCTGAATTCTCACAGCCTCTCTTTTAACTCACTTCTACCTTAGATTCTTTGATAATCCACACTACAGGGGATTATGAGCTCGCAGAGTGCAGAAACTGTCTTCCCTTCCCCCCAGGGTTTAGCACAAGGCTTTGGCGACAGCACTCAACAAATGTTTACTAAATAACCGGGTTAATGAGTCCCGCGCCGCCACCCCCCAACCGTATTCCATCCCTACCTTTGCTGATACTGAAAAGCCTACTTTGTATTATCTGCGGCCTCCCCTTTTTCCACAAAACATACTGTGATATAGTCCGGACTAAAAATTTCTCTCTTCTGAAATCCAGCAATTCTCCGATCTTCACATCCAAACATCCTCAAAGTGCCCAGCTTGGCGGGTCCCCCTCCCCACTCCGAAGCCTCCCCGAGGGCGGAGTGAGGACTTCACTTGTGTCTCCCACGCACCGCGTACAGCTTCCCTAAGACCATCCTCCCAGAGAAGGGCACTGCTTCGCCGATTTAAAAAAGAACGTAAAAAGCCCCGAATCTGCATCAAGAAGGCGCCTCTGCACACTCTGGGAGAGAGAAGGGCACCCCGCCCTTGTTACGCAGCAATCTGCGGGGTACAACCTGGAAACGGGAGCCGCCGCTACCATCAGCGCTCAGGCCTCTCGGCACCGGCTCGGGAGCAGGGAGCGGCTGGAGGGAACAGGAAAGCGAGCCTCAAATGCCCTGTCTCCCAAAGCCAGCGGCTTCAGTGATGTCCAAGCGCCCCCGCAGCACCCGCTCCTGCCTCCCCAGCCGGCACCGGGGCCCCACTTGGCGTTTGGGGATTGCAGCAGAACGGGAGGCGACACAATGAGACAAGAGCAAACCGTTTCTCAGCGTTCTGGCCCAGGGCCTTCCCCTCTCGCGGCCCGGCCTCCCTCACCCGGAAGTGCTGGTCCCGGTACTGGCTCAGTTCCACGTAGGAGTCGCTGCGCAGCGCCTTCAGGAGGCCACCCGACATAGCGCAGAGAAGCGGACGAGGACGCGGCGACTCCCGGCACGAGGTGGCGTCTGCCGTGGCGGAAGCGGAAACGCGCGAAAGCCCGCATCTCATTGGACCCAATCCGAGGGCGGCAGTGTCGTCATCAAGCTGCGCGGGCGCAGATGACGTCCGGGTCGGGCGCCGCCGGGCGGAAGACTAGGGCGGTGAGGTCGGATTCCCGGGCGCTTGGAGAAGATGGTGCTTCGGCGGCTGCTGGCGGCCCTGCTGCACAGCCCGCAGCTGGTGGAACGTCTGTCCGAGTCGCGGCCTATCCGACGTGCGGCGCAGCTCACGGCCTTCGCTCTGCTGCAGGCCCAGCTGCGGGGCCAGGACGCGGCCCGCCGCCTGCAGGACCTGGCGGCTGGCCCCGCAGGCTCCCTGTGCCGCCGCGCTGGGCGATTCAGAGACACCTTCACCCAGGAGCTACGCCGCGGCCTCCGTGGCCGTTCGGGGCCACCACCAGGTAGCCAGAGGGGCCCTGGCGCAAACATTTAAGCCTGGGCTGTGCGGGGCCGAGGCCTTTACTTTGCCTTCCGGGCTCTACACTGGCCTCGACGTGGAGGGGTCGTTCCGGGCACTGCGCGCGGCTTCGAACCCCGACTCGGATTGTTGGCCTGCAGACATCCCACGCAGAAGAGCCTAGGCCAGACCGCAGGCTCCGCTGAAGTCCTGTGTTTGGACAAGACACGGTGTGGAGAAAGACCCCGAAGCCTAACGGAGATGAAGATAGGCCGGGTCCAGACACCGCACCCGCGGAGAGCCACGGACCGAAGCCAGAGAGCCTTTCCTCTGCAGATGGAACTGACACTCTTGACAGAATCTGCACTGGTGTAGCAGGACACTTAATTCCAGGGACGATGTGAATGAAAAGACAACCCTACAACTGCCAAATTCCTTTGATTAAAAAAATGTATGATCTGGTTAATAGGCATGAGTGTGATACTTCTCAGGCAAGATATATTAAGAATACTGGGGACTGTAGGCCTATGGCAATAATAAACACGTATTTTATGAAATGAGTATTTTGTGCTGGGACTTGCTCATTGCACTCTGCGTGTTATTTCGCTTACTCCTTACAACCACATCCGCATGAGCAAGCAGATTACTTTTTGGATTTTTTTGTAGAGATGGGGTAGTCTCGAACTCGGGTCCGAGTGATCGTCCTGCCTCAGCCTCCCAAAATGCTGGGATTAGAGGCAGGAGCCACTGCGATGGAAACAGAGGCTGCTGCTTAAGTTGCCCAAAGTCTTGCGGAGTGGGATGTGAGCAGAGGCATTTGATTCCAGGGCCTAAGTCCTTAACACAGCTCTGCAACATTTACCCTGATACTTTCCTTCCTTCCCCAACCCCCCATCATCAGGCATTAAGACTACTGCCTAGGAGCAGGCCTGGTGGCAGTTGTGTCTAATCCCAGCCACTGCAGAGGAAGGAGGATCGCATGAGCCTGAGATGAGACCAGCCTGGGCAGCATAGCAAGAACCTGTCTCAAAAATAAAAAAAGACTGCCACCTGCCGTGGAATGAGCTACCTGGACTCATCCCCCATTTTAGAGAGTCAGGCATACGAAACTAAGACTATGGTCCAGCAAGTTAGTGGACCCATGATTAGGAAATCCACTGTATATACAAATGTCCTGTCATTTGAAGCTCCTAGCTAAATTTCTGATTTATTTATTTATTTGAGACAGGGCCTCACTCTTGCCCAGGCTGGAGTGCAGTGGCATGATACTAGCTGTCACTGCAACCTCGACCTATTGGGCCAAGTGATCGAGCTTCCTCCCTGGGTTTCCCAAGTAGCTGGGATTACAGGCCCATGACACTATGCGCAGCTAATTAAAAACAGGTTTTTTTGTTTTTGAGACAGAGTCTTACTTTGTCACCAGGCTGGAGTGCAGTGGCGTGATCTCGGCTCACTGCAACGTCCACCTCCCGGGTTCAAATGATTCCCCTGCCTCATCCTCCCGAGCAGCTGGGACTACAGATGTGTGCCACCATGCCTGGCTAGTTTTTTGTATTTTAGTAGAAATGGAGCTTCACCATGTTGGTCAGGATGGTCTTGATCTCCTGACCTTGTGATCTGCCTGCCTCGGCCTCCCAAAGTGCTGGGATTACAGGCATGAGCCACCGTGCCCAGCCACAATTTTGTTTTGTTTTGTTTTGTGTTTTATGGTTGAAATGGCATTGTACTTTGTTTCCCAGGCTGGTCCTGAACTCCTGGTCTCAAGCAGTTCTCCTGCTTCTGCCTCCCAAAGTGCTGGGATTACTGGTGTGAGCCACCACACCCGGATCTGATCATTTCTAATTAGGCAACACAGATAATCATGCAATCTAGAAGCTTGAAGCCATCGGAAAAATTGAGGCTGGTAACCAGACAGTAGCTGAGCATGGTGTGTTCCCTGCTCTCTGGGGCAGGATGGGAGGGCTTGAGACCCACAGTTCTTCTAAGGAGGGAGAACATCTGGCTCCCTAATCTCGGAGAATGACTTTTTTTTCCCCCCCAAGACTGTCTCGCTGTGTCTCCCAGGCGGGAGTGAGTGGCGCGATCTCAGCTCACTGCAACCTCCACCTCCTGGGTTCAAGCCATTCTCCTGCCTCAGCCTCCTGAGCAGCCGGGACCACAGGCGCCGCCACCACACCCAGCTAATTTTTGTATTTTTAGTAGAGACAGATTTCACCATGTTGGCCAGGCTGGTCTCAACTCCTGACCTCGAGATCTGCCCGCCTTGGCCTCTCAAAGTACTGGGATTACAGGTGTGAGCCACCGCGCCCAGTCAGGAGAATGACTCTTAAGGACAAGGTGCAGAAATGGCTGGAGAGTTTCCCACCACCTCTCAGGAACAGGAGTAAAAGAAAGTAGAGAGAAAATCTTCAGGTGCAATTATATATTTCAAACATTACTTGTTTGCACAATAACCAAACACTGAGACAGCAGGCAGCAGAGGGCCATGAAGTACAACACAACTCCCACTTCCATGCTTAAAGAGCTTTGTGAGAGCTGTGCCTGTCGAGGACGGGGGACATGTACTGTGGATTCCAGGAATGACACGATGTTAGCTGGCAGACACCTCAAAGATCCTCTGATCCCAACAGACTGGGAAGTGGGGTGGGAGAGTGGAAGGGGCTTTCTCAAGATCATACAGCGAGGGGGTGACAGACCAAGGGGCTAGAAGTTGGGTCCCCTGGATCTGGGCCACCTGTTCTCTATACTTCATCACACTGACTTCCACATTATTTGGATAGGCAGATCGGTCTCAGGAAGCCAGAGGTTGTCATGACAGCAAGGGCAAGGCATCATGGGAAGTTTGGGAGAGGTCGCTGGGGAATGTCACTGGCAGTTCATTCTTTTTCCCAACCAGGTACTATTACATGTTTCAAACATCACAGTGGCTGGAAGCAGTAGGGCAGGAACCGACAGGTGTCATCACTTACACCTGGTTCTTTGGGGACCTTGACATCAAGACTGACAGGTCAGATCTTTGGTCTCAGGGAGAGGAGTGCCAGCTCACCCAGAAGGCAGGACAGCCGTGCCCAGGAGAGGCAGCAGTGGGAGTCGTGAAGGAGAACCTGGGCCCTGTGCCAGCGTCCCAGCCCGGCTACCCAAGTAGAAGGTGGGGCAGCAACTTCTATGGCTGAATCGTGGGCGGTGGGTGCCCTGTCATATTGTCAGGTTTCTTCCCCCAACTCCACGATGTGAAGACTGAGGTGGTCCCTCCAAGCCCCACTCAGCAAGGAGGACAGGGCTGGTGGATCCTCCAGGGTTAGATGGGGAAATACAAGTGTTTCATTCTTGAAGGGGAAGCTGCACTTCTCCACGGCACCCCTGGTGGTGCCAGGGGTCACCACAAAGAGGCGGCAGAGCCATGGCCCACCAGCCACTTGGCAGGCTGGTTGTCTGGTAAAGCTTTTCAGGGCTTGGCACAGGACCCAGTCCTCAGTTCCTCCCATGTCCACCACCTCCACTGGTGCCCCCAGGCCTGGGAGGTGGAGGAGGTGCCGGGGGGGCATGTAGGTGTGAGTGAAGAGCAGTGTGTAGTGGGTGGGTGCGCTTGGGAGCACAGGGGCATGGACCACCTGCTCCAGGTACTCCAGGCCAGGCACCAGGCCCCCCTGATGCAGGCAGCCGAAGAAGAAGGCACCGAGGGCATTGAAGAGGACCACGGTGCCCTTCCAAGGCACAGGTTGGGTCTGTGGACTACAAAGCAGGACTAGGGGGACCAGGAGGGGAATCAGGAACCGAGCCTCCTGGTGGCTAAAGGCAGACAGCAGGGCTAGGGGCATGAAGTAGAGGAGAAGGAGATAGGACCTGGGGCTGGACAGCAGGCTCCGGGCACCCAGTGCCCTCAGGAGGCCCATTTGTAAAGAGGCCTGGAGGCCAGCTTGCAGCTGTTGCCACGCGGCCTGCAGGGCCTGGGCATGCAGCACCCCAAAGAGCAGGAAGCCGTTGACTGCCAGGTGAGTGAGCCGCACATGCGTGCCATGCCTCGCCAGGTTTTGGGGATTCAAGTTGTAGTGCAAGAAATTGACAGGTGTAAGGACAAGGGTCCTGGATGTAGCGGGGCTGGAGAAATACCAGCTATCCATGGCCACAAACACCACTGCTGTGAGGGCCGCCCCAGGGAGCAGCACCAGGGCCTCCCGGGTCAGGGACTTCAAGCCAGGGTTTGTGGCTCCACGGGTGCCCCAGAGGTAGAGAGGGACCACAGCAAAGGCCAGAAAGGTGGGCCGGTTGAAGAAGCCAGCAGTCACGACGCCTCCAAGAAGCCAGCTGTGCCACCATGGACCCGGCACAGGCTCCTTGCATGTAGGGCCCCACATTACATGGGGGGATACCAGCACCAGCAGCCACGCGAAGAGGAGTCCCTCAATGGTGTTGGAGAAGGTCCTTGTGTAGAAGACCAGGGTGACGTAGGAACCAGAGAGCAGGGCCAGGGCATTCCAGCGATCCGCCCCCAACAGTGGGGCCAGGTGGTACACCACCCCGTCCAGAGCGAAGGAAAGGGCAGCAAGGAGGAGCCGCGGCCCCACCAGCAGCGCATAGCTACTCACCAGGCCAGGCCACGGCCCCAGCTCTCCCCAGAGCCTGAGCAGCCAGAAGGTAGAGCCGGAGGTCAGCAGGGGGAAGACCACTGTGCGGCAGGCGCTGCTGGGGTAAAACTCCCAGGGCCGGGTGGCCTGCACACCCAGGATGTCCTCTGCAGAGAAGGAGAGGCAGAGCTGAGCCAGTACCAAGCTCAGGGATGTAGTGGGCAAAATTCTAGGATGGCACCCAGCATTTCCACCCCTTGGTGTGTGTGCCCTGCATAATCCCTGGGACTGTGCCCTGGATGGATTTTTCCCTCCCTCCCTGCCTTCCCTCCCTCTCTCCCTCCTTCCTTCCCTTCCCTTCTTTCCCTTCCCCTCCCTTCTCTCCCTTCCCCTCCCTTCTCTCCCTTCCCCTCCCTTCTCTCCCTTCCCATTCCTTCCTTTCCCGTCCTTCCCTTCCTTCCCTTCCTTCCCTTCCCGTTCCTTCCCATTCCTTCCTGTTCCTTCCTGTTCCTTCCTTTCCATTCCTCCCTTCCTCCCTTCCTCCCTTCCTTGCTGGGTCTCTGTCACCCAGGCTGGAGTGCAGTGGCGAGATCATTGCTCTTGCTGTGTTACTGAGGCTGATCTCAGACTCCTGACTTCAAGCGATTCTTCCACCTCAGCCTTTTACCGTGCTGGGATTACAGGTTTGGGCCACTGCACCTGGCCCCCAGGATGGAATGTACTCCTGTGATTAGGTTATGTCATACAGGAGCACTGACTGTAAATAGGGAGACTATGCGGTGGGCCGGACCTAATCATGACAATATTTTAATAACAGAGTTTTCATCAGCTGGATGCAGAAGGGGCAGTCAGATTCAAAGCATAAGAAGGATTTGACATGCCACTGCTGGCTTAAAGATGGAAGAGGCCATTGGCTAGGAATGTGGGTAGCCTCTGAAAGCTAAGAGCAAGGAAACCGCACCATAGGTTCCACAGCTGAAATGAACTAGATTCTGCTAGAATTAGAGAGCTTCCAGACAAGAACTCAGCCCAGTCCATACGCTGATGTCCACCTCGTGAGCAGGGAGCCCGTGCCGCACTTCTGATCGTGAACTCACGAATGGGTGCGGTTTTAAGCTGCTGGGATTTTGATGGTTTGTCACGCAGCAGCAGAAACAAGTGCAGGGGAGCTCAGAGGGCAGAGGGCAGGAGGTACCTCCCTGGGAGATGAGGCGGCTGTGTGTCCTGGGAAGAGTGTGTGGGAGGCGGGCAGGTAGGGGGAGGCCTAACCTCTTCTCAGGGTTCCAAGATCTCAAAAATCAGAGTCAGAGCCCCATCTCTGATGATTGTTATCAGGAGATGGGGGGAGAGAAGAGGGGGAGGGGCTGAGCCATTGGGGTTATGTCAGAGGTGATTTATGTTTAGTCTTTAGATACTTAATTTTTTTGTTTGTTTGTTTGTTTGTTTGTTTTTTAGAGTCTCAACCTGTCGCCCCAGGCGTGGAGTGGCAAGATGGCTATCTGTCGCGCTCTGCCTCCCACCGTCCTGGGTTTTAAAGCGATTCCCTGCCCTCAGCCCGTCCTGGAGTAGCCTGGAATTCAGGCGCCTGCCCACTGCACCCGGGCATGATTTTGTATTTTCAGTAAGAGATGGGGTTCACCAATGTTTGGCTAGCCTTGGTCTCCAACCCCCTTGACGCTCAAATGATCCACCC